TGTGTGTGTGTGTGTGTGTGTGTGTGTGTGTGTGTGTGTGTGTGTGTGTGTGTGTGTGTGTGTGTGTATCCTTAGGTCTTTGTAACAGTAGTCGGGGCAACTTTCTCACCCAGAGTAATCGTAGACACAAGTTTGGGAGAAACAGCTGAAACGTACTGTCACCACTTGGATCTTCCTTTCTCTTTTCACACACACACACACACACACACACACACACACACACACACACACACACACACACACACACACACACACACACACACACACACACACACACACACACACGAAGACAGGAGTTTCATCACATCTTCACCTGTTTATCCCCCACACTCCACAAGACAGCTGCCATCTTAACCCTTGCAGGCGTGACCTCCAAGCAACCTTTGAAAGAGGAGTTGGGGTTGGACCTAAAACCCAGAGAGGTTACTACCCCAGTCAGCTTTATTTGAAATGCATCTGACTCCACCCCCAGCACCTTATAAAAAGCCCCTCTCCCCCCCCCCCTGTTAGTGTGCATATTCATGAGGGCGGCAGAGACATAGCAGGCATAATAAAAACGTCAGAGGTATAAAACACTGAAGGGAGAATCCGCCGGGAGCTGGGGCGAGTCGCTCTGATGTCAGATCCCCACCCAGGGGTGTCTGCCTGTTAGCTCTATTGTGCTTCACTGACTTTTATACCACTGACATGAATTGGCCTCTGCTCCTGGCACATAACTTTGTAGGGCGCATTTTCAGGATCAAAGAACTTCTGTTAATGCGTGAAATAGGATAGGATTGGGATGTTAAACACACATTCTGGAAGGAAATATTCAGTAAAGTGTTGTTGGATCTGTTCGTAATGCAAGATAATGGAACTTACAGGTTGAAAAAAGGAGAAGGATGTGAAGGAGTATATCTGGATGACAGCTACACTAACAGCACATATACATATGCGTATGTGACTCGTGAAACTGTGTTTTTCTTTTGATCCTACATTTGAGACTGATATTTTACTGCTTTTCATGTTTAACAATGTTTGTTTCAAAATGAATGACTGTAGTCCGCCAGTTACATCACAGCTCTACCTCCTGCAGCTTGAAAAGACCCATGCATCAAGCCTCCATTTAATAAACATTTCATTAATAATTAGTGGAAACTGTTACCAGAACATACCCTCACGTTACGTTATTAAGTACCTCATTGCCAGTTTGAATACTTTCATGAACTAATTACTATAAACCTTGTTCTTTTTTTATATAGTATGGAGTACGCAAGTATTATATAAGCATATGCAAGTACAGTATAGTATTACACTTTAAAACACATTCAAATTGTAAACTAGCTGTGTGTGATAATGGTATGATTGTTAAGAAAACATTGACCCATCAGATTGTTTCCAAATAGATTTAATACGTGTGCATATTCCGAAAGGGACACATTATTTTGGGATAAATGAGATCATGTCACAGAGTTGGCTAAAGTTTCTCTGGATAAGCCTTACAGATGTGCGCATACAGACTCAACAGCTACTAAACGTTTGCACAGAGAAGAGTCCTTCCATCACGAACAGGCTAGCAAGGTACACACAATGTGACAGCGTTAAGGGTGGAGACCGTGTGCGTTTTTTACATATGTTTTTGTCAGTGAGAAATCAAACATTTTGCAGACACATTTAAAGCTAAGGGGGATTGATCTTCAAAAGATAGATTTCAAAGTTAAAACTGCAATTTTAAACTACAGCTACAAGATGGAATGTGTAGTGAAGCATTAGTTTGACCTCTAAAGTCTCGCTAATCAACTCCTGCTTCAATCCTACATGCTAGACAAGCTGTCTTCAGCAAAAGATATCAGTGCCCCGTTATTCCATGTATGAAGAGATTAAAATATGACACAACAACATAAGCCACTTCCAGACAAACTCCTGTCAGGTGCATTGGTCAGCACAAAAGCTTTGCCAGTTCCTCCATATTGCAGCGCAGTGGCCTCCGCCCCCCCGCCTGCCTCTCAGCCTGCAGCAGATGGACTGTAAGGGGTTAAACCTCCTGAACCTTCCACCCTTCCCACTGTGTTGGCTCCCACCCTGATACCAAATATACACACTCACTCACACTCCTCCCAGTGTGCCCTCAGTGCTTCCAAGGCACAGACTGGGCAGATAAGAGTGCCACAAAGAGCCTGCTGCCACGCTGAGGCCCCTCTGCTCCGGGCAGGCCCCTGTGCTCCGGCGGGCCCCTGTGCCTGTGGATTATCTCCGGCCCCATTGGTACCATGCAGGGGGGGGTTGGCAGGAGCCGGGACTTGCTTGGCTTTGGCACTGGCCAGTATTTGTTCTATGTAACCTCTTTGTTTCTCCGGAAGCACACTGAAAAGGTGGTTAGTTGAAAGCAATAATATTAAGTTGAACCACATTTCTTTTAAACTTAATATTATTACTTTCCACGTTTCATCTTTTCAGTGTTAGGTCTGTTTGTGGAATGGTGTTTCTTTGCAGACAGACACTCCTGTAAAACACACACTTGCAGTTTCTTCTCCACCACAGTGGATAAGGGATTCCTATCTGTCAGAACAACTGCTGTGCACAAAATGGTCCCTTTGCGAGTGTGTGTTTACAGACAGCTGCAGAGAGTGTCTCTTCCCGAAGGAGCAGGAGCAGAGAGGAAAAGCAACAGAAAGCTTGCTCTACAGAAAACAGATGAAGTGATCAGCTGTGAGGCCGTGCAGACTGCATGACACTGCTACTACACCAGCAGGCTCAGAACACACAGGAAAACACTTCCACCGCAAAGAAAACTGCTGCAAAACACAAAAAGGAGTGCAGTGCTGAAACACATTAGGGATACTTCATGGGGAGTTTTCTACTTAATTCCTTATTTATTTTTAAAGTGATTCACAAGACGTCTACTACACTACCTGCTATACGGCTTATATCACTTATATCACTAATATCCAGCAGCTTCTGATGCCAGCACATAAACAGAGCTATGGCAAGGTGAAAGGTATGCAGCCTTTAGAAAAGGTGATGGGGGGGGGGGG